TGAATTTATGGAGAAGCGGGGAAAATTTGCTTTATCTCCATGTTCCACCGTTGCCGCGTCTTTTCTTCATTTTACGTTACCGTGCACCATGGCTTTCCGTGTTTAAAACGAATCCCACGTCCCGTTTAACGAAATCCGCCTTTCTTATCTCTCTTTTCTTATTTCTCTCCCTGCATTCGAATTTTCAGCCGTTCTTTCCTCGTCTCCGCATCGGTAAGCAGTTACGACCAACGCAAAATACGAGTATAGACATTTTGATCGACCGATAAGAAAAACGTAGAAACATAAATCTTCGATGGAAGAACCTCGAGGAGCAGAATTGAAAAACGAAAGGTCAACGCTGATGGATTTGTAAATCTTACGAAGGATCGTTTAAATAAATCTCTGATTGATATACAAGCCATATTGGGAAAAATTCAGTCGATCGAATAATAATAAATTATTATATACATACAGTAAAGCTCCAATATAATCAATAAATATAATCAATAGCTTCATATCATCGGTCAGTAGAAGGTAAGTAGATCGGCAAGCAGTTCATACGTATAATAAATATTCACTGATTTTCCTTAAATGTACGTTCATATAATAGGAATTCATATAACAGGAATTCATGTTCAGATAAATGGATTTAATCGACGGTATTATCTATCCTGGCATTAACTAAAATCTAGTTCCAATATATTAAGCTATAATATAATTTACGAAATTCATAGAACTAGGAGGTCCTTCCAACCCATATTGTTTCATGAAAAGTACCATAAAATCGTACAATTTATATTCCATATACAAGACGCTCCGGATAAAATTGCGAAATCTTAGCATAAGCAGAGTGCGGATAAAGAACAGGAAGAGGCAGACGATTTTCGCAGCAACGTGACATCAATAAAATTTTGGAAAATTGGCGCAATCTCACTGGCCGGGATTGCTGTTACGATTACCATCATTCGAATATAATGCAAGTGGCGGACGAGGTTCTCAAGGAACGCGGTCGAAGGTACCATTTGCGGTTCACCAGCCATCCGAGGCGGTCAGAGAAAACACCGTAGCTGTAAAGACGTAAACGCGGATAGGGGTTGGAGCCCCGAAGGGGCGCAACGGGTGAGAGCCACATGCAATCTCACGGCTGATTGCGCAAGTTTTACAAGTTCATCCGATATCGTACAGTCACAGTACCATGGAAACGGACAGAAGCGGAGATCGGTGCTGATTCTGTTGCTCTTTGTTCCTGTTTTCGTTCGTCGTCACGGGAAACCGATGCAAGGAAAGCAAACAGGAAAAAGTGAAAGAAGAATGAACGGAATAGTAACTGCAGGAAATGGATAGCAAAGGTAGCGTTATGAAGTTATCGTTATTGTAGAGAGAACATCGGTGAAATTTGGCTGGTAAACAGTTGATGTACTCTCTGCATCAAAACAATCTGACAGTCAAAAATTTAATTTTGATTCTAGTTGACTGGTAACTTGACTTTTTACCATGCCTGCGGGGGACGAATCAAAACCCAGCTCGTCATCGCTCGATATTTAATCCGTCGGTCTTTTATTTTGCCGATTTTCCTTTAAACAATTTTATTTGCCGCTAGAGATTCAGTGACAGTCAAAAGAAAGTTTAAATAGTAAAACGGGCAGTACGTTATAATTTTAAAAAACTGAATTACAATAGACGAGAGAAACGAATGGATAATATAATTGTACGCCATGTAATACTTATTTGGTATTAATATAGTTATAATATATAGCATTAATGTGTTAGTCAATTTATTTTCACGACTCGCTTCGTCATTTCTGAGAAGTTCCGAGCATCTAGGGTCAATTAGATTTTTCCACGCCAGTACGTGATTAAACCCTTGCGAAACTGCGAACGAGAGAAAGACATTTGGTTTTCCAGACTACGACGGAACGCTTCGTTTCGTTCTCTCATCAGCCATTTCGCATGGTACGAGCACACTGTTCAATAGCAGGCGAAATCGAACGATTTTCGTGATGGTACTGGTGAAACTGCTTTGTTTTTTGCTAATCGAAAATTTAGGGCATGGATATCGACGGACGAGTACTATGGTATCGCATGCTTTGCATCTTTGTCCCTTTTAATTGTTCTCGCTATGATTCTACCACGAATCGTTGTGCTACAGAATGAAACTCTCAACAACAAATTTCTTTTATCCAATTCTGAAACAATTTTTCTAAATATTAAAACTTTTTAGTAACTGTTTTACTACTTCGTGGTATATGTTTGCTCCCCATCTTGTTCTTAATAAGATTTCGTTAGAAATAAAACCGCAAAACGTAACAATAAAAGTAATACCGGGAAAAGAAGCAAAAAACAGAAAGAGAAAGAGCTTGATTAATTCAGAAAGAGGCACGATTTAAAATATTTATTTTAAAAGGATGATTTAAAAAGATTTAAATGGAATTTCCATTGCCTCCTTCGATATACATAGTTAGCGGAGTATCATGGCGGTTAGTCGCAATATGGGATATTAAAGTCGTCGTGCATACGTGACCGTCGGAACGTGCTGGCAGCATGTTTCTCAATTATTTCGAACAAAGGATCTCCGACCAATTCGACAAATCGCGTAAATTTTCTGCTTTGAGCATCTAAACTCTACGTGCTTCGTTTTCCTGGATAAAGGAAAAAAATAAATAAAATAAAAAACTCGGCGGTATCGTAGCGCGGTCGAATACGGATCTCCCGATTTTATCCTAACAAAATACACTCTCCCGTATTACTTGAAAAATAAAAAAAGAAATTCGATTAAATCAATTGTTTTATTTTAAAAGAATTTTAGTTTTCCACTGGCGTGGAATATCGGCCGCGATATGGCTTAAAAATTATAGAGAGATACGTTTGAGATAGTAGACAGCCGCCGTGGGAATAGTATCTAGCTATGGATATTCCGTTCGCGCATCCGGAAAAATTAAAGCAATGACTGAACATGGGGTCAGGGGAGAAATGTCTGAAGTTTCCAGAGAAAACCGAAAAGTTTGCGATAATGTGAAAGGAAAGTTTGTTCATTGGCTTCGTCCTTTAAGTGTCAGCTGTTCCGCGATCCCATTGCGCTGAAATATCGCCCCGAGCAATGTTAAAGCACGACGCATTGAAAGTTATTGGAAAGTTGGCGTAAGTGGAGGAAGAGAGAAAAAGAAATAGATTTTTTCAGTGGAAATAATCCGGATAACCGTATTAAGAGTGGCAGCATCGCGGAAAATATGCTTGAAATCCATTTGCCGTGGTACCTACTGTAATTTCCGGTTAGCCTCGTCGGCTCCGTCACGAACCAGCCAGAAAATACGGAACTCGAAAAGAGAGAACGCCTGGACACGACAGGACGTCGATTATTCTGCACACGCTTCTAGAAAAATTGAAAATCTTTTTAATCGAAGAGATCGTGCAACTTTGAAATGCGCCAAGCGCCGTTTTGGCTTTTTTTCTTTCCCATTTCGTTTCAACATTTGAGATATATCCTTCCGTAGACGAACGCGCTTCCAACCGGATCCGTTCCCGTATGAATTCTGTGGAAGCTCGTTGTTTTCGCCGAATGAACGAAAATTATACAAATTCTATCATTTCAAAAGTACGAACAACGCTGAAATATCTTATAGCTGCCATTAAAATATTTTAAAAGTAAGTACGATTAAACTAAATACAATATACAGAACGTAAATACGTTATATAACAACGATTAGAGCGTAAGTATTAACTTTCTGTATGTTTTGATAGGATTTGCTCTATCACAATACACATTTCGTCGTATACTTTCTCTTCATTTGTTTCCGCGTCGATAATCCTCATTACAGATTTGTTAGGCGCTATCGCACTCTTCACGTTTGTAAAATAGTTTATCATACGATTGCACACGGCTTCTTCGGTGTCATCAAATCGTAGCATTTCAGCAGAACGCTTTGCCATTCGATCTTGAAGTATTAATCTTCTGGCGTATAGATTCACTAACAGCACGGGAGGTTTTATTTCCGTGTTGAACAGTATAGCCTGTTAATCGATTAATCGTTTTCTCAGTACTTCGCGCCGTGTATTATCTCATTGTAAATTAACGAAACTAAATAAAACGGGATCTTTTCGTTCTCATTTCTCAAAACTCATCCCAAATGATAAAGCAGAGTAGAGTATGTATATTGCTAATGTTCACCTGTTTTCTATCTCTAGGGAAACCAACGATTAAATAACCGTACGCGCTTGGGTAAGCTAGCATTTTCTGCACCAGCAACTGAATGATTAACGGAGCTGGTACAATGGTGCCTTTTTCCATGAATCTTTTGTATTGAAGTCCCATTTCGGTACCTCTTGCAACTTCCTCGCGTAAGAGAGCAGACACCAATACTAGAACAAACCCATACCTCGCAGCAATTTTTTTACCCAACGTGCTCTTTCCAACTCCTGGTCCACCTATCAAAAAGATTATGATGGCTTTACTGTGTTTTAAAGGCCTGGGGTCCATTCGATTATATGTCGGGATCATGTCGGTTCTATTTCTATCAAAACAAATACCCATCTCGACAAATACTTCTCTGCTTAGCTTGTGAAATTTCAGCTTCGTAATGCAACACGATACACATGGATTAAATGTTTTAGAAGATAGGGAGCACGACAGCTCCTTCCTCTTATTAACGCTTTTAAATCGTTTCAAATTCTTTTTACGAAATTCTTCCGTAATTCGATTTCTTTCATAGGAAAAATTCTTAGAGCATGTCCGAAATTTGTATCATGTTCTTCCTTTAAAAATTAGGCGGAATCGATCAACAAAGTATCAACGAACAATCAATAATATTCTTAGGTATTGTACTATCCGTTAGTCTCTCTAAACTTCTGGATCGTATTCTGTATTTATTATAAAATAACGCGCAAATATCGCCAGATAGAAAGGAGATTGTATTCTGCAGAAATGCCGTATCCTTAAATGTTACATTTAATAGTAAAGATAATCTCTTGTTCTCAGGCTTTGCGAAATACGCTTCAATTGAAATTTCTTACGCGGCTATTTTACATCTCTTGTGCCGAGCAGAATCTTTTACAAGACATACAATCCTTCGTCACAAAATCTTGTTAAACTCGATTATGTCTTGGCCACTTTAATATATCGCGCTGTGGAAATCTTAGCTAGTATTTCACCTACAGATATCCTACACGATTACACAATTCGAGTCGAGTTACGCTTGCTGCTTTCGAGTTTCAACCCAGCACTAACATGTAGCAGGAAATAAATAATTCTTCACGCTACGGTCACGCTCCTATTTTCGAATAACTGTCAACCCCGATAAATAATGAGAATGTCCACTACCGTCCTGAATAACTAACGCCTGAAGTTGAACCTTGTATCGATAGCTTTATATCGCTTTGCCACGAATGGATTTCAGTTAATGAAATCCTTCTGCTAATGAAATTTCCAAGCGTTCCGTTCCTATTTTCGCTTCAGATAGAGTATATCGTGAGATGAATAATTTTAGTAAAAAGATGGGAAATATTTCGTAAAATTCGCGGCAAATATAAAGAGTTACGTTTCGCTGGTGTAAGAATACCAAAAGAAGCAGTTCAATTTAGAAGAGCTCGTTTTATTATTTTATCGCGAATTTAATTCCGACGAAGATCGACGAAGGGGCAAATTGAAGGCCAATCTCGCGTTTCGCAATGTAATACCGAGAAAGGAATATTACTCGTAGTAGAATGTTTAAACAGCTGCTTCGACCGAATCACAACTACGGTACCACACAAGGCGCAATCGTGAGTATGAGTCGTAAAATAGAAAATTCTGTATCTCAGTCGCGAGAGCAGTCAAAGTAAAAGATTACGCAACGATTCGCAAAACGAAAGAACGAGACAAAGACAGAAAGTGAGAATAATTCTAATTTCTTTTCATTGAAGGTGAACGTATGTTCGAAACGAGGGAACAGTGGCAGGAATGTGGCAAGATCTTTCGCTGAAACGTTTATTTACGTTGTTCGTCAAACGAAGATGGATATCGATAAGAAGATGAAAGAATTAACGGAATTGTTTTCGAAAACCGGCAAGGAACTGTCCGAACTGGTGAAGAGAAACGAGCAATTCATAATGGAGGAAATGCAAAAAGTCGAGGACACTGTTCGAAAAACCACCGAGGTAGTTATTAGGACCTCGACTGTGTGATTAGGAAAATTGTTATTTTGAAAAGATAAAGTCTAGTGCTTCTATATGAGTGCGATTTTAGATAATATGCATTTTAGTTCTCTTGCTTGATTTCTCCGTACCTCGATATTGAATCTTTCCACAGGATTGATTCAAATTGCATCCAGTCTATAGTAGAAACTCTATGTTTCTTTTACAAAAGTGTTACGAAACCTCGGCACGTAGAATTTAATAAAACTTTAAATAGGACATAGAACAAAGCGTAGTACGTAAGACAGAGTTTCTAAACAAAATTCAGAATAGTCGCAAAATTCCCCATTAGCAAAAACAATTACTCGACAATCCCTTGCATTCGTCATTTTATCACGATTTTAAGTATGTGAATTTCGGTGGTTCTTCGAGAAAACATTATTCGGCATACACGTGCAAATTTCGTCGAAACTCGAAAGATCATTCGAGACTTATCATGTGCTGCAACAGTAGCATATCGTTGCTCGTGCAACAAGCATCATGATAATCAACTGAACGTAACGATAACAGCGGGAAGAATTATGAGCGCAGCAGTGCAACGTAAAGTTCATTATTCTCTCGCGATCTCACGACGCGAACCTACAAAAATTTCATGCCCTTCACCGGTGACTCACTCTTCTGCGGCATTAGACCGCATTTCCATGGGATTCCACTTGGAATTTATAATACAAGAACTTGGCGAGCGCCTTAGTGATCCCCGTCAAGCTAAATGACACGAGCGACGAGCGAAAGAGATAATAAAATGGTTGCAGGTGTGCGCCAAGGGGAAGATGGACCGTCTTCGGGCTGTCAAAAGCACCTACGACGAGAGAATAAAAATCTGCAACGAGAAGACCGCGGAGGGACTCCGCGCCGCGAAGACGATTTGCGATCATCGAGTTCAAGAGATGGACGCCCTCAGGAGTGCGATGAGACAAATCCTGAAAGAGTGTCTCGAGACGAACGACTTCGTCAAGTGCATGGCGAGCGAGACGAGAGAGGCTGTGAAACGGCGAAAGCAGATCTCGAACGAGCTGAACGAAACAGTGAAAAGCGCCGAAACCTCGATTGCCAATCAACTCAAAGAGGCATCGAAATGCCACGTGTACGCTCAAATGGAAGCTCTGCAGGAATTGCAGCAAATTTTAAAGGACACGCAAGATTGTATCAAGTAAATATACTATACGACGTAAATTTTGCATTTAGAAAGACTACTTTGTTTATGGAAACCCTTAGTGAAATGTGTTTTACTCTAGGGGCGAATTAAATTAAAATACGATCGGACGTGTATCAAGTGTTCGTGAAAACCTCGCAAGATTTCTGTCGTAGGTAATCACTGAAAAATAAAAAAGAACGTCCATAATGGAGATCAACGAAACATACGATAATTAGCATGGACCGGTTCAAAATTAGTAAACGTTATGGAGGAAGAGAATAAATTACGATGTTACTCTTAACTCCTTTCGCGAAGATCAATCGACTGTCACTTTCAGCTTATAACGAAAACAATAGAAAGTAAACCACTCTATTTTCACTAGCTAACCTTTACCATCAATCCGCTTGTATTGTGACACCCTTATTTTATCATTCAACCACAGATTCCTTTTTATAATTAGTCTCAATCTTCATTCTTTGTTTCGTGCTTTTATAATAATACCTGGTAATTGCATCAGCAAGTTTAGAAGTAAGAAATCATAGACAAATCGCGAGCAAAATGTTCTGAGTCCGCTACGTGAGCAAACGATAGAATCCACGTCTCTATTTTCTTTGGTCCGAAATTATTCTAATCATGAACGATCCCGGATAACAAAAACGCGGGCATGTGTACGTGGCACACGACGTTAATTATCGGACGGTCGATCATCACAATCAAATATTCAAGCAGCGTATAAAGGACACTGCTAGGCAGAGCGGCAAGTTTACGGGTCAGCGAAGCGAAGAACAGGGGGTAAACCGTGAAAGATCGTCGCGGTAATGCATGCGACACGAGAGAGCAATTAACGTAACAAACGACTTGACTCTGGCTTGACAGGTGTGCGTACAGTGACAGTCGACCGCGCCACCCTGGATGTCCTGCGTCGGCACTATCGTACCGGCGTTCCCTTTAATGAGCAATAGGACGGGATGTTTCACGACTTTAGATGCGTACGCGCATCTGACGATTAAACGAGCTGTTTAATCCACGGACCACTGAAATCGAATGCCCGCACGGGCGATGCTGACCTGTTCACGCGTCTACACGCAGATTACTTCGTTAAGAATTTAGGTTTAATCAGCGGCCGCCAGAGATTAAACTGCTATTTAATCGTCAGTGGACATAGTCGCGATGCTTTTTGCTTGCAGTCGTAGTGAGGGTGATATCGTCGTGGCTCCACGTGACCGGTCGAATGAATAAATGTGAGGCTTTGCATATTCACGCGACATTTCGACGACCACGAGTAATATATCTTGTTAGGAAGCTAGCCCCTGCTGGATTTATGACGCGCTTACGAATCATCTGTTATTTTTGAATGGGCCAACCCGGTAGTCCGATGGAACGAGTTAGGACATTTTTGCATATTCAGGAGCTCGGCTCTGCTTGCGCCGGCGATGGTAAATCGATGGAAAATTCGAGGAGCAAATGGGAAATTAATTGCTATTGCGACAAAGAGTTTCGTGTGGTTTCGTAATTCATGGGTTGACACGGTTATATAAAAAGAAAATAGGGAAGCGTAAATATGACGAATTTTATCTCTCACGTGAACTTACCATCGTCATGAATTTTATGCTATGAACAATTTACATCGCGGCATTCACGCGACTTCGGGCGAATATTTTATATTCGGTGACAGTGGGCGATCACGAAAGAGGTATTGTATTATTTCTATTCCAGGAGCTGTTGGATATAAATTTAACAGAGTTCGATAAATGGGATATACTGGAAAACGATAATTTACCTAATTCTAATCATCTAACATTGTGATTTTTTAATCGCTCGGAATCAACGAGGAACAATTGCGATAATAATCCAACGTTCCAGCAAGGTTTCTTCATCGTCATTTATGCGTGTATATGATAACGATAATAACGCACGGGGTTTCATCGTGGTTTTTGTATAAAACGTACGGGGGTGATTCACGAGACAATATGAGTTCGCTTCGTCGGTGTATCGAACAAAACGTTCGAGCGACCCCATTTCGAAAGCGCCTCGCATTATTCGCAGTCTTCTTTTTCCTGCAAGTGCACGGAGCGCATCGCCGAACTTCAACTCGTAATCGGAGAATTAGTGGAACCGATAAATCATACCAGTTGGATGGAGGAAAAATTTTCAAAATGAACGCAGAAAGACCACAGGGAGAACAATGCCGGGATGCGTTCGTCGAAATTTCATAGAATGATTTACCCCGTGAATTGATCGAATCGAACAAAATCTCTCAAGCAACGAGCGCAAATGAATATTAATCATTAATAACGTCGAATGTTAAAGAAAGGAACAAAGGAATGCCAGAAAAAAGCAGACTCGTAACTAATGATTAACGAATTGGACGATAGCTCGCGCGACGTCGAAGATTCGTTTATAAATTTTAATCATACCGCGAGCATCGTGAAATAGGGATCATTCACGTTTCTTCCAACTTGGAATTTTCGAACGTTTTCATTCTATACCACCGTAAATAATCAACGCTACCTAATGAATGGATGAGTAATGATTGCACGCATCGGAATTTAAACAGATCATCGAACAGGTGAAACCGATAGGAAAATAATTAATATCCTGTACACCATTGATGATGCAATTACAGCGGACTCGCTAGGGAACACGTACTCTTCGTCCATTTCAATTTATTTTGCTGGAAAGGTACGCCGTGGCATCCGTCTTTGAGTAAACGTGAACTATGCTAGGAAACCGGCGAAGCGTGGAGAAAGCCTAACACCGCGAGATATTTAATTGATTTAGGTGACAGAAGGCAGCCAAGGACTTTCCCGCAGGACGTTCAGAATGCGACCACCGAGTGGAATTCCGTGCACATTTAGCGAGATCGCTTGCGGTCGCGTGGAATCGTTCGAAGGATATCGGCATTCGGCCACACCTGCCACGACCAAGAGCTTCGACTACTTCGTGAAATGAGCAAACTTCCGATTGCCTTGACCTCTCTGCCATTGAGAAATATATTTGCCAAATCCGAAACTCATCCCGACAATTCGAACACTCGACTTTGTCGAACCTGTCTAGGAATTGTCGAAGTGTCGAACATGTGCTGGATGTGCATACGTTTTTCAAAGCTTCTGTTTTCTTAAAAATGCGTGACTACGTTGGATAGTTTCTAGTTCTCAGTCTAGACGCGAACATGTCAAAGCTTTATTAAAATTAATCGACCTTATAATTTAATACGACGATATCGAGCTTGTACAATCACCCAGTTCATGTATCCAAGGTTATATGTATATACATATACATGAATGCGCACACACTGTCATATCGGCAAATATACGCATCTGGGCGCAACACCGAAGACCACTTAGGCAAATGAACGTATCGAGGCGACAATCGACTCAGAATCCTCTTGATAGAGTGGCTGCAGCGATTGCGGAAGGGGGATGAGAGACTCAGATTTGCGGGCCCCGCGACTACAAGCGGCAGTCCATTAAAATAAGTGGCACACCACGACGTTAATAATAGCCGGGCCAATTACAGTGCCGGCATCGACGCCTCTTTGCCACGGCTCTTTCCCAAGCCCCAGCAGGACTTTCAATTAGCTGCTCAACCCCGTTCCAACCTGGTCTGTGGCCTCTTTTAGTCACCGCTGATTCTTCTCTCTAGTTCTTCCATCCACTCGACGCGACGCCGCGAAGTAATCGGTCTCCAAGAAAAGTCATTATAGACGTCTACGAGCCGCGGTCAACCGGCCGGAATTTACTTCCAACCCACCGCACCATTCCCACCCGCCCTGCTTCTGAAATATTAATAATCGTTCCAGTCGAACGGGAATGAAATTCTGTCGACGACGGTTCTTCGGATCGAAACGTTCCCCTGGAACGTTCTCCAACCAGGACGAACGAAAGAACAAACAGAACGACCAACGAATTAACCAGATATTTGTACCCACTTGAACATTTTTAATAAGCATAAAAGAAGAGAAATACTATTCTCCTGACTTTTCAATGAAAAAGGAATGTTTTGAAAATCCATGGGAAGATGGAGGGAACAGGTATTTGGTACGTTCAACCAACTGTTTCAATTACAATATTGTTACGCGAGTTCCGCGTCGAGCCAATTAAGTCGTGTCGGAGTGCTGTTCAATTTTCGCTTCGTCGCGCAAACATAATAATCACGATAATTGTTTGGAGTGCAAGTTCAGGCCGCCCTTCTAATTCTGCAGATACTTGCGACTGTTTGCCTCGCACAGCTAACCGGGGCGCGATTGCCCCGTAATGAGCGAGCAAATTCTAAATATGCGATTCTTGATAGAGACTCATTGCCTTAGAATTTATACCAACATCTTAAAAAATTAAAATCCACAAGTAGGAGCACGCAGGAATCATAGTAACTAGAAATATATCAAGATACTAAGTTGCAGGTGGGAAGCTGGAAACTTTTCCATCGGATCGGGAACGATATATTCGGCCACGTCATCGATCTCCATCAAAATTAGATCGAGTCGGTAATTTTGGCGAATGGCTCGATATTAGCGGCGTCAACGTCGAGATTGGTCGACATAGGGACATAACAATAGATGCAACGGTTGGCAGGTGCAACGGCGTGTTTGTTGCACGGATGCAACTGCAAGCCACGCTCGATCATTCTCTCGTCTCAAGCTGTGGCTCCGCATTGCCGGTAGCCGGTATTCCCCTGTCTCGTGCCGATTGGCCGCATAATCAGTAATTGCCACGATGCCCGCAAACTATCGTCCGCAAACATCCCTTATGGCGTTACATCCCTGTGACGAGTGAACCGATTGCTGTTCCACGTTCTGCGTGGATTCGTCGCTAATTTCTGCGTCCTTGTTAATTTTGCTTGTCCAACCGAGATCCTGCTTGGACGCATCCTCTGATCTCCTGGAAATTCGGGAGTGAAAGATGGTATCGATGTTCAAACAACGAGATCGAAGTTTCGCGTGGAAAGTAAATGATCGAATTTATAGGCGAAACTTTGAACGGAGGAGTAACGCGTTTTAACAGCAAACTTCCTGTATAGCGAGACTTAAGAGGAATAAACTGCTTGGAATAACGCTTACTTTAGAAGTCAATAGATCGAACGATACTAACCGTGAATTTACATGAATACGTTTTCGAAACTCGATATCGAGCGGATTATTTAAACGACTGTATGGAATTTCGTAACGTCATCCCCTTAAGTAAAGATTTTGCAAACTTTA